TCACATAACAATAATCTCTTTGTCCAGGATAGCTAATTTCACTTTCTTAGTCACCATCTCCACGTCTAATGCTGCACTTTTGGCTAGTGCGACTGTAGTGGCGAATTCTAGTTATATTCCTCTTTCCTCCATTTCTTGGATGTCCTGGTTGAACCGATGTAGTTTCATCCCTAAATCCTCCTCAGTCAGCTCCACCTTGACATTCTGACTTTTTTCCATCTTAGCGGCAGATTTACCTTTCGTAAGATGATAAAGTAATGTCTTAGGATTTGGTGGTAGGATTTTATTTTTGGCTGAGAAACTCAAGACTCAGGGAATTTTGGTCGAACATTTTGGGTAGTGACTTGTATTTGGTATTTGTAGAGATTTTAAGAATTTTTTTGAAAAGTAGTGGACTAAGATATCCTCATTTAAAGCAACAATATTACATAAATAGTTAAAGCACAAAAGCGGCTAACACGCTGATGAGTCCACAAATCGGACTCATTTAGGGCTTTATTTTAATAGAAATATCGAATGCTTATTTTGTCTCAATATCTGATGAAAACTCTTAAGTTTCAGGTATTTGAAGTTTTAGTGGAAACATGGACACTTAGGCGCAAAAAGGAACAAAAAAGGCTCAAAAGAACGAATAAGCTGAAGTATGAGCATTGCCAAGAACCTTTGGCGATTCGCCGAAAGGACGGACTCCGTCCTAAAGGAAGAGGATAAAAAAGGCAATGAAAGGAGCAGTAGGCGCTTTGCCGAATAGTTCCACGAAGCAGTACTATACCGCCCAATGGTCCAGAACTTGACGATGTTGTAGGCAAGCACTCAACGGCGATGAAACAGAAGAAGGATGAGTCATCGAGTCATTCGGCGGACTCGACTAACCTCGCTGAACGATTCGCCTGCACTAATTTCTGATGGCTATACATATTAAACTCTTTCTTAATTTTACAAGTTCCGAACCATTATTATTATTTTTAGAATAGAATAGTACGTTTTTAGATATTTTCTCTCAAGGTTGGAGAGGGTTTTGTGGGAGACTTGAAGAGAGAAGGATTTCATCTTCCCCAAGTTGGAAGTGGGTCTTCTCCATTCTTCTTCGTTTGATTAAATCAAGGTTTAATTTCTTATACCCATTTGATTTTAGTATCATTTTAGGTGTATTTTGTTATTTCTTGATATGTGGCTAAAAACTCCCCATTTTTGGGGTGTGATTTAGCAAATATGTGTTGATATTATTATTGGGTCTTGCTTGTTGATAGGGTAGATGTATTTTAATGGTGATTTCACCTAGTGATTGTGGTTTAATTTAATGGGTATGTAGTTGCAAATACAAAACCACCCATGTATTTCGGCTTGCCCGAGAGGGAGGTCGCGAAACCAAGACCACTAGACTGATGGCCTAAGGAGTGGGTCAACATGAGGTTCAGCCGGAGAGGGTGAGCCCTAGTCCCATATCCTAATACTCAGCCCGAGAGAGTGAGTGGGGTATGGTGTAGGCTGGTCTTCATGTGGCAAATGGGTGTCCGAGATGAACCCATTTGAAACGGGGTAAGTTACCCGAGAGGGAACTTATTTCCATCTAAAGCTTAGCCTAGTCACTATTATCTTGCAAATTTCCTATTGAAAGCATGTACACAACGATTTATCTCAACTTGTATTGCAATCACACCCCAAGAACATTTCCCCATACTTGATTTTCTTGTTAATTTTTGCTATTTTTACTACTTGTGACAAAACCCCCAATTGATATTTGACAATTTCGTGTCACCCCCTTTAATTTACCATGTTTTTGTTCGTTAATGTCTTTAGCTACGACTAGTTAGAGCTTAATATTATTTTTCTATCAATTCTCAAAACCACTCCATTGGGACACGACCTCAACCTTTAGTTAGGTTACTATACTATCGACGATCGTAGACACTCACACCGTAGGTTAGTGTCGTTGGTCACGATAAGCACCAAAAATGGCGTCGTTGCTAGGGAGTGGTGTTATTTGAGAATTTTTAGATTAGTAGAATTTTTGTTCTTCTTAGTCGTAATTTACTAACTTAATTCTTAGTTTTGTTTTGTGATTTGTTGGAATCTTAACAAGGGAAAGCAAGAAATATTCGGGAGTTAATGGAGTTTCGTCCATTAGAGGTAATGATGTATCGGGATCGTATCCTAACCTTCAAGCAATTGGAGGATGAGTGGATCCATGAGACATAGACAAGATTCAATGAACTGCTAACCCAATGCCCCACTCATGAACTTCCGGGTACAATCCTCACTGATTTCTTCTACCGAAGTCTTGGCCCTAGAAGCAAGATGTTGGTTGACCAACTCCTTCCTGGAAGAACATTAAAGCAGCCATATATAATAACAGTCCAACTGCTCGACAATATGGCTAAAATGAGCCAAGAGGTTGAAAATGATCTCTTAATGACCACAATAATGACCCAAATGGATGAGTTAAAAATAAATATGGTGAAGGTTGAAGCTCATTGCAAAAGGAAGGATAAATACATTCCCCCTCATAATAGAAGAAACAATGAAAACAAGGAGATCAAGCGCAGCGAGGGAATGCTCTCAACAATTCTCCACAAGGTGACCGAGCAAGAAAAAGAGCTCGAGGGATTGAAAGAAAACATCGAGGGAATGAAACAAATTATTTGGTCTCATTCCAAAGCTGTCCAACTACTCGAGGACCTGATGAGTCATGCGTTACCTCAACTCCGTCAGCAGAGTAACAGGGGGTGGCCTAATGAGGACCTGGCCAACCCCAATAACAATACTTGAGCAAAGATTTGTGTCATGCTATGACGGTAAATAAGGCGCTTCTTGGGAGGCAACCCAAGGTCTTAAACATTTAGGATTTTACTTTTATGAATAATGGTGTGTTGTGTTGCAGGTTAAAATAAGGAAACTGTGGAAATTTTCAGGTTGGCGAGCAGAAAGTTTATTCCACGAGTCGCCAAATAGGTCTGCGAGCTTGATTGGATCCGTTGTTTGGCTCAATACAAGAGTTGTACAGAGCCTGTAAAACTCGATGGACTCGAAAAGCAACTCGGCACATTGCTAACAAGTTTGGCGATCTCGATGCAGACCGCTGAATTCACCCACTGAAAATTGAAGATTTCTGAAGAAAGGGCTGGATAAATGACCACTCGGTGAATCACCGAGTGGGTTGGCAAGTGCGACGTTAGGACACAAATTGAACAACATATATTGCCATCAGGCATACTTCTTCATTCTTTCTCACTTTCAAACTCCATAACTTCACACCAAGGTAGTAATTTACATTCTCTCACCTTAAAGTGGTACTTTAGTCACAGATTAGTGCTTGGAATTCGGATTTTAATTGCCGCCTAGCATTACAATATTGTTTACTCAGCAAAAAGGGTAGTTTCTGAAAAAACCCCGTTCACTTTTGAATAGTTCAACCTCATCTACAATCAACGAGTCCATTGATGTGTGTTAGATCTCTCTGATATGAGTAGAAGTTTTTGAGTACTTGCTTCTGATTTGTAAATTGGGGCCTATTTGCTTTTACTGTTCAAAGTCTTTTTTCGTTCTACTTACCTTGAATCTAAATATGGAAAACTATGCACAATGGGTGTTGACCATGAATGGGTGCTAAGAGTCTGGGCTAAATTTCATTAATGCATAGTTTAATTTTGCTTTTGAGGGTTGTAAGATCGATTTTGAAAATTGAGTTGAATCTCAGGCACGTTAAGTCAAACCTAGCTCGCCGAATCACTCGGTGGTTCACCTACTATCCCTAAATAGCCTTTAATTTCATATCTTAAGCATTGTGGGCTCTGTAACTTTCGGTGGACATATTCATGATCACCCAAGAGATTCGGCGATTCACTGATTAGATCGGCGTTTCACTGATTAGATCGGCGATTCTGTCTGCAATTATGTGCTACAATGTGATTACTGACTAATCTCTCTAATGTTTTGCATATATGGCCACACGATCAACCATAGGAATGGAAAAGTGAATTGTGATCAGTGAAAATGTACCTCCACCCAGGGGCAAGGCTACCGCAACTGCAAAAAGTAAGGGGAAAGGCAAAACCTCTGAATTATCCGATGCAAGTTCTGACAGCACAGGCTTCTACACCACCGAGCCACCCACATATAACAGTGAGAGTGCAGAGTCTGACGAAGATTACCAAACATAGGCAATGAGGGCTAAGTTATGATCCAAAAGGATACATGATCCATATCGGATAAAAGATAGTCAGTCCACCACTCCAACTCCTCCAGCTCTACGACAAACATTAGTGCTGGCACATCTAGTACAAGGTCCCAAACATGGATCAATGAATAGATCAAAGGCAGATGGTCTGAGAACTATCATTGAGGAGAAATGACTTTCCATAGATGGGGTTATTCATAGGTATCCAGAAGTGATGGAATGCCTGAAATACCATAAATTCCAAATCTTCACAAGATATCGCAGATCTTACATACCAAGCTGGATTAGAGAGTTCTACGATGCATACAGTGCATTAGTACCTCAACGAAAAAGACTAGTCTTATCTTTTAAAACAGTTGACCTCGTGGTTGTCAGAGGAAGGAAGGTAGCCTGTGACAGTGAGACTATCAACATAGCTTTGGGAATGTCCGATAAGATTAATAACCACTGCCAGCACTTAATCAGGACACAAAAGCTGGATGCAATGAAAAAGTGGCTAGCTCCACTAGTCTCAAATGATAATGCTCCGACATGGTTAGAAGAATGAGTTCTAATTGAGAAGAAAAATATGAACATAGCTGCACAATATTGGTTCGGATTCATCAGCAGCACAGTTATGCCATCACAGAATGAATCAATCCTTTGTCATGCTAAGGCAACTTGTCTTGGACGCATCATGGAGAAAACCAAGATAAATCTTAGGAAGATCATTTCCTCTGAAATCTATATGCGTGCAAAGCAACGCTAGACATCTCTCCCATTCCCGATATTAATCACTGAATTGTGCAAAAGAGCTCGGGTGCTTGGAAATGCAACGAAGGATATGGAATTGGCTGCCACCACCTCCACTAGTATCCGAAATATCGAAGTTGAATATCTTAAAGACCAGGCAGAAAAGAGACAGAAGGAAGTTGTGGCCACTCAATCTATACCTGCAGAGGCATCTTTGCCTACTCTAGCCCCTGGACCTTCAAGTATATCTTATGTCATTACCACCCTTTTTGACTCTACAGGTCCCCCTTCTACTTCATTACCAGACCTACAACTGTTGTTTCCCCTGTGAACCAATCACTTAGGCATCCTTAATCTGAATGGGACAACTTGCCCAAACTGCTAATTGTCGAACTGCCAACATAGAAAGCTCCATTTCAGGCATGATTTAGGCTCCCCTCGACAATATTGTGAGACCATTAATCACTACTATTAATGCTCTAGAGGCCAGAATGTTAGTGTGTGAGCACGATCAAGAAGCCACAGAGGAAGTAACAGCCGTAAAGTCCACCATTGCAGAACTGAAGAAAGATATGGATCACCTAAAGTCCACTGATATATCCATGATCTTTGGAACACTGGAAGTTCCAGAGGTTCCCGAAATGCCCCAGACTGCCGCAGGACATGGAAATGGAATAGAGCATATAGCTGATCCTGAATCGAAAGCAGAAATTGACGAAGAGATATTTGAATAAGCTACAGTGGACAACATAGTCGACACTAAAGAAATCATGATAAATGTTGTTGTGCAAGTTTCTTTAGCAAAGTATCCTGCTACGGGATCCAGTGGATCTGGTCCTTCCGGTGGTCACTCCGGATACTGATGCCAGGACAGATGGAGCAATCGCATAGCCAGGATCCCCTCTTTACCTCCCTCTCTATTTTTAGTTATCTTTCAAATCTTTGGATATTTATTACTTGCATTTGAGGACAAATATTTTTATTTGTGGTGGGATGAGGCCCACCTGTGTGTGCTACTTTCTACTCGTGTTTGTGTTTATATCTTGGTTGTTCTATTTATAAATATTTTTACCCTACTTTTGGGGATGTTTGAGCTCATGGCTCTCTCTTGTCTTTAATTGCAAATGATTTTGACCTTTCATTTAAATTTTGAATTTTTTGCACATTTTTGCTACCTCTCGTGAGTAGAATGTGGTTGTTCTTTTGCAAAAAAATTTGAGTCCCGGTTTCAATCAATACTGATGACTTGAATAGTGTTCTCAATTGAACGAACATGAATGTACGACTACGATGAGGCCAAATGAAGTTGCATAGACAATGTGTGAACTCTTTGCATCTCATTGTGATTATCAATTTATCGAATTGATTCTCTTGTAATGACCGTTGCACACTAGCGAAAGTGTGCAGTCTTGTTTGATTTAAGTGTCGATGCCTTGTGTGATTAGCTTGTTTTGAAACTTGCATGAATAAACCTAGAATTTGCCCTGTTACCGTGATTGATATACAAAGGTGTCCTCTTGAGATGATCTTAGGCAACTTTAAAGAGTGTGAGCCAAATTTGATATATACATCTTTTGTGGCCTACCCGTGAGAGTGTGAAACTCTTTTGAACACCCTTTGAGCCTTACCTTTCTTTGGAAGAACCTTGATGAACCCTAGACCTTACTTGAACCACTACCTACAATCCTCTTGAGTTGTGGTTTAGCGAATATCCAACTTAGGCCAAAAGCCTAAGTTGGGAGTGTGGTGAAAGGCAAAAGGAGAAGTCAAGAAGTGCAAGAAAAGTCCCCCTTAACCCATGGTATTGCATAAAAATGGAATCCCTTCAATTCAATTAAAAAAAATGAAATGTGGAATAAAGTATGAGGGGAATCGGGTTTCAAGCAATCCATGGAGGAGAATAAAAAGGTAACTTAGAAGCACTAGAAAAAGAATTGATAAAGGAAAAGAAGGGAATACCTTCAGAATGCCACAACTCACGAGGAAAAAGTCGTTGAGTCTAAATGACCATACCTTTGCACTCAGCCCGATTACAAGCCTTATAAAGACCTTTTTGATCTTGAGTAAGCCGAATCGAAAGTCGATTGGAAAATAAGGGAAAACCTATGGGTGAAAACATGCATTGTGTTCCTTTTTTTTTTTTAGTGTGAGTGTTATATCTGATTCCTGATCTTGAATTGATTAACCTCTGTGTGTGAATATGGAATCATTCATCATGTGAGGGCATTTAGATACTTTTTGTTGAGCTTGAACTTGCAAAAGTAGCAAGTATTGCGAGCATGAGAATCTTTGGTAATGGTGTGTCACAACTTTAATCTTTGAGTACACAATTCATCCTTGCATAAGTAAATTGAGTCTTGTTGTGTGCATTCATGATTGAGTCTTGTATAGTATAGCACTGTTTGAGACACCCTTTTAGAACGGCAGAACTAAAGTTTGCTTGAGGACAAGAAAAAGTTTAAGTTGGGGGTGTTGATGAGTTTACAAATTGAACTCATTTAGGGTTTATTTTGATAGAAATAGTGTCCTCGCATGCTTATTTTGTCTCAATATCTAATGAAAACTCTTAAGTTTCAGGTATTTGAAGTTTTGGTGGAAGCATGGACACTTAGGCACAAAAAGGAACAAAAACGGCTGAAAAGAATGAACAAGCTGAAGCCTGAGCATCGCTAAGAACCTTTGCCGATTCGCCAAAAGAACAGACTCCGCCCTGAAGGAAGAGGATAAAAAAGGCGATAAAGGAGTAGTCGGCGCTTCGCCGAATAGTTCCGCAAAGCAGTACTATACCGCCCAATGGTCCAAAACGTGAAGATGTTGTAGGCAAGCACTCAACGTCGATGAGACAGAAGAAGGCGAGTCGCCGAGTCATTCGGCGGACTTGACTAACCTCGCCAAACTACCCGCCTACACTAATTTTTGATGGCTATAAATACTAAATTTTGTATTAATTTTACAAGTTCCGAACCATTATTATTATTATTTTTAGAATAGAATAGTATGTTTTTAGATATTTTCTCTCAAGTTTAGAGAGGATTTTGTGGGAGATTTAAAGAGAGAAGGATTTCATCTTCCCCAAGTTGGAAGTGGGTCTTCTCCATTCTTCTTCCTTTGCTTAAATCAAGGTTTAATTTCTTATACCCATTTTATTTTAGTATAATTTTATGTCTATTTTGTTATTTCTTGATGTGTGGCTAAATAACTCCATTCTTGGTGTGTGATTTAGCAAATATGTGTTGATACTGTTGTTGGGTCTTGCTTGCTGATAGGGTTGATGTATTTTAAGGATGATTTCACCTAGTGGTTGTGGTTTAATTTAATGGGTTTGTAGTTTCAAATACAAAACTACCCACGTGTTTTCGGCTTGCCCAAAAGGGAGGTCGCGAAACCAAGACCACTAGACTGATGGCCTAAGGAGTGGGTCGACATGAGGTTCAACCCGAGAGGGTGCGCCCTAATCCTATATCCTAACACTCAGCTCGAGAGAGTGAGTGGGGTAAGGTGTAGGTTGATCTTCATACGGCAAATGGGTGTCTGAGAGGAACCCATTTGGAACGGGGTAAGTTGCCCGAGAGGGAACTTATTTCCATCTAAAGCTTAGCCTAGTCACTATTATCTTGCAAATTTCCTATTGAAAGCATGTACCGAACGACCTATCTCAACTTGTATTGCAGTCACACCCTAAGAACATTTCCCCATACTTGATTTTCTTGTTAATTTTTGCTATTTTTACTACTTGTGACAAAACCCCCAATTGATATTTGACACTTTCGTGTCACCCCCTTTAATTTACCATGTTTTTGTTTGTTAATATCTTTAGCTACGACTAGTTAGAACTTAATTTTATTTTTCTATCAATTCTCGAAACCACTCCCTTGGGACACGACCCCAACTTTTAGTTGGGTTACTATACTATCAACGATCGTAGACACTCATACCATAGGTTAGTGTCGTTGGTCACGATAAGCATCGCGCGCGTCCTAAACAAGTAGGGGGTCCTTTTCTGCCAAGGGTATTCCTAGCATATTTGAAATATGTATGTGTAGAATTGAACCATTTTTTTACCCCAAAGAAAATTTCGCATATATAAAATAATGTTCAAAAAGTGAAAAGAAGCAGGGGAAATAGGGAATAAATGGGAAATACAAGAGGAAAGGCCCACGCAGGGGTCATTTGAAAAGAGTACCATAACACAAGAAAAGCATGCCCACACAGGCCCGATAACAACATATACACATAGAAATACCCACGCAGGGGTGAAACCCACTAGGATGTCCCTGACGGCCTCGCTTCTAATCTGCTTCTCTTATTTTGTCCCATGTGGTGTTAAAGCCTGTACTAAATCATCAGCAAGTATCCGTCGCACCGACGCCCTTTCTTTTCCTAATCATTAAACTATATTTCTCTTTTCTTACCTTTAATCCATGAGTTGAGCTCCCCCAAATCGCTCCTCAAGCTTTCTAACTCTTGAGGGCATATTTATCCTCCTCTTACTTTCGAAGAAATTCATTATGCATTTCACAAGCTTCCTTTTTTACGTCTCTCAATTCTATCAAAGCCTAGGACCCTTTGTCCTCCAAACTGCGGTAGATGTTTGGAACTGGGAAGGAGATGCCTTGCAAATTGTCTTTCCACAAAGCTTTGTAGGTTTCGTCGTACCGAGCATTAAATCGGTCTGCGACAATGGTGTCTTTATTCATCCACACTGCCTTCTTCCATTCTCTCAGCATCTCTAAAGTGTTAAGAACTCTATCATCCCCGATGTCAAACACATAGACACGGTAGAAAGTGTTCGGGGGTGTGGTTTGTTTTCTTCCAAACTGCCTCAGGACCTGAATGGGTGCATACGGGCGGATACCCTGAATACTTCGTAGAGGAAGTACAAGTTGTATGTCTCCTCGTACTACGACATCCTTTGAGATGAAACGATTGAACATCCAATGAATATCTTCTTCTATTAACTCGGAGAAAATAGGATCCCATCTTTCTCTATCTCTCCTATTTTCTAAATCTGCCCAGAACAACATCTCATCATTCAAATTCTTAAGACCGTTATGTTCATCGAAGGTATGTGGCTTTTGACTCCCGTGTCCCATCGCCAAGTGGCTCATTATCCACCATTGGAGGAGGAGAAGGTTACAACCCTGAAAATAACGATGCCCTTCCTTACAGCTTCCCAAAGCACGGTACATATCGGATAGGATGACAGGCACGACGGGATAATATTTAACTTGCTCTTGGTTGTCCTGACCGTGGAACAAAGTTTTTGCAAGCATAATTAGCTAGGTGTTGATACTGAGGCTCGGGCTATGTGGAAAAGGCCATAGTACTTAACAGTGCGATAGTGAATGTCAGGGGTCTGATCCCATACCATTCTCTGAAAGTAACCCTGAACTTTTGGTTATAATTTGCATAAAAGGTCGCATACTCTGACATAGAGATTCCTGAAAGCGACACTTGACCCAAGGGACTAGTGTGCGTAATCCTTTCTCAATCCGAGCCACTTTATAATTTCCTCGACACTAGGCTTGTTAGGAATTAGGTTGTCCTCCTATTTTCTTACTCTTATTTTAATCTATGTACCTCTAGTATCTATGCCGTCCCGAATCTCCTGGATGGTCGAGGTGATTTCCATGGTTCAAATCAGAACACCATTTTCTCATTATCCTAGTAGTCAGTGAGGACTTCAATCAGTTCGAGCCACCCAACCATGTTAATGAGCTCTGTTAGGGGCCCT